GTAAGTCAATTCTGGATGATGCAGGAATGCAATCTCTACCAACTTATGAAAAACAGGGAAAAGCTGTTTTCTGAAAATGAAATTAGAAACTGGTGTTTTCAAGTTTTCCAAGGTCTAGCTTACATGCACCAGCGTGGATACTTTCATCGTGATCTGAAGCCTGGTATTTGCTTATCATTTTGTGTACAGTTGGGTTAGTGTATGTGGTATGATGAAGTGGTGTTAGGGTTTGATTTATATTATCACAAGAACCTTGGAAGAACCACACTACAAAAGCTAGCTGGAGAGCCCAAGGCCTTGTAAATCCACCACTAGAATCCCTTACTTCCAATGTGGGACTCAAGTCCCAAACCTTGCTATTGGATCCTAATATATTATATAGCATGGAATCTATACTTCTATACTATTAACTTCCAAAATACTCTCCCCCATACTTTTTTATTTAATTTTTATTCTCTTTTTCTCTACTTTTACATAAATTTATTTTTCCAACTTATCACACTCTAAATAACTATTGAAAACCATCAACACCCTCTAATAGTTAAACATTCACACTTATTTAACTTCAATTATTTTTATCATTTATTTTATTTTATTTTTTAAACAAAATACGCGGAGGCACGAAGTGTCTTTTTTATGTTAGTTTATGTTATGTTGGCATTATATTCTTCCATCTCTAAATATTTCTTTTTGTTATATATTTTAAACATTTTTTTAAAATAAAGTTTATCGAATAATTGAATTGAATATCATGAGACAAATTTAGATTAGATACCTGGTCTATTGTACATATCTCTATTACTATGTTGCAAAATGTTGTTGCTTTGACATGAGATATGCTTTTTTTTTGTTTTTTTTTGCAGAAAACTTGCTGGTCAGCAAGGATGTCATCAAAATTGCTGATTTTGGCCTAGCCCGAGAGATCAGTTCACAACCACCATATACTGAGTATGTCTCCACACGGTGGTATGTTTCTTCAACTCACAATACTTTATTATTTTTGTAAATTTATAATGCACTACAGTATATGTATTTAATTTAATAATGTGTATTCTGATTTCTGATTAGGTATCGTGCTCCTGAAGTCCTGCTTCAGTCCCATATATACAGCTCTAAAGTTGGTAAGCATCTGATATTGAATAATTGTCATTTATGGTGGCTTTGTGATTTCCTAAATAAATTATGGTCTAGAGTCTAGACAGTGCATTAGTGTGAATAGATAATGAGTGTCGAGCACGATGCATTTATCAATTTTGTTTCATCTTGCAGATATGTGGGCAATGGGTGCTATTATGGCTGAGTTGTTCACTCTTCGTCCCCTATTCCCTGGTACCAGGTATTAACAAATCTGTGATACATAAGTTACCATGTTCACATAGATCACTGAATATTTATTTTTGCAAATTGTCATTAGTTTATGGCTTATTATCTATAATGCCATATAGATGGAACCCTGGTCTAGCATCCTGTTAAGTGACTGGGCTAGAAATTAATATGCTCCATTATTGGCTGTACGTGCAGTGAAGCAGATGAGATCTATAAAATATGCAGTGTGATAGGTAGTCCAACTACTGAATCTTGGGCAGATGGACTCAAACTTGCCAGGGATATCAACTATCAATTTCCACAGGTTAGCTTTTCTTGATTGTTTTTGGTGGTCGGCTTTGGGGAAGCTACCTACTAATTGTTATGCAAGGTGTATCACAGGCAGCAAAATTTTAAAAAGTGCTATTTTATTTGTTTAAAAATAATTTTGGTAATTTCAGTCTTATGTTAGTTTTTTTAGCCCCATACATTTTTCTCTATTGATATAATGTATATTAAGATGGCTATTGCTTTCTGTTAAATACTTCCTTTTAAATTCTGCAGCTTGCTAGTGTGCATCTCTCAGCATTAATCCCATCCAGAAGTGATGATGCAATCAGCCTTGTTACAGTAAATAGTTTTACTTTAATTACTTAGCAGTTTAGTCCTGCCCCCCCTTTTTCAACTAATAGAAGTGAATTCTATTTTTATAGTCTCTTTGTTCATGGGATCCCTGCAAGAGACCAACAGCAGCAGAGGCTCTCCAACATCCTTTCTTCCAGGTTGTCTTTTAACTAATCCATGCTTTATTTAAAATTTTCTTTATCTTTTATGCCATAACTATATTTTACGTTATGTAAGTAGGTTTTTAACACTTCCATTTTTTAATTTGTTTAGAGTTGCTTTTACATTCCTCCGTCCCTTCGCACCAGAGCTGTAGCCAGAACTCCTCCATCTGGTTTGAAATTTAGTTTATATTGTTTTTCTAAGGAATTACTTGTGATTCAATTGTGGGGATACTTGACTCCTAGTTGTCTTTCTTGTTGCAGCTGGGATAAGGGGATCTCTAGATCGGCCTGGGCTTAAGAGATACTCTGGTGCTTTGCCTAATACAAAAATCACCAACAATTATTCTTCCCCGAAAGTACAAGCTTCTTTAGCTTCAGGTAATATAATTGATTTCAGCCATTTATAAGTTAAAATAACATGGTTCATATTTTTTATTCTGGCATCTGTAGATCTGAGTCATTGTTCATTATGGTTAGAAATATCCGTTGGTGTTTAAGCTGGAAAATCACCATAGGATATTAGTAAATTGCTACTATATATCTCAGTGATGGAAACAAAGTAACAACATCAATAGCGTTTTTCCACTAAGTGAGGTTGGTTAAATGGATCAAACTGACTCATAATGTCCTAAATTACTTCTATAGATAAACTATTTAAATGTAAATCGTTAATGGACTGGCCTATGACTTTTTGTGGTCGTCACCCTCTATCTCTAAGTACTGGACTATTCTATGCTGCTAATTTACCAAAATAGGGTAATTTTCAAACATTTTACCTGAATGAGGCTGTTTTAAAACAACTTACCATTTAAGGGTAGTCAATGCGAGCTGCTTTCCATGCTCTGTCAACGTTTTTTTTTTTTTTGTAAATTTTCTGGAATAGAATCGTCATGGGATGATGGGAAGCTCCAGTGGCACTGGCACCTTCTAGGTGGCATAGAAGTTTGTCTTTTAGTGGAAGGCTCCGCTGTCAATGGCGCATTCAGTGAAGGCTCAGATGTCACCGGTGTGTTGCAGTCTGTCAAAATTATTTGTCTTGAAGGCTGGTCAGTGCCACTGGAGCCTTCCACGTGGAGTCCACGTGACATCTAGATGGCATAAAGTTTATCTTCTGTAAAAGGCTCAGCTGTCAATTGCATCAAACTGTCAAAATTATTTGTCTTACAAGATATGTAATTTTGTTAGAATGATAAAATTTTGAATTCATGAAGGTTTTCTTTTCCTAATTTGAGACATGACGTGACAGGCTGCAATGCCAGTGGCATCTGAGCCTTCTACAAAAAGAAACATTTATGCCATGTGGGCTTCAAATGATTTTATTTCAGAAAATAAAATGATAATGTGGCATGGAAAATGCTGGTTTGACCTACATTTTCTAGGTTGACTACCCTAGTGTGGTAAATTGTTTCAAAATAGCCCAATTTTGGTAAAATGTTTGCAAAAGAGCCCTACTTTGGTCAATTAGCCATTCTATGCTTATCTGCTCCTTTGTGGAGATTTTACTGTCCTAGTTACACAATAGGTGATTATTCTAACTTGCGTTCCAATGCTATTCCTATTAATCCTGTGTTGTCTCGAGTGTCCACCCATCAATTGTAACATTTGTCTCTTTAATATAGAGCTTTTTTATTAGTGGGTTTTTACTACCTAGCATTCAGTCCTGTACGACATTACAAGTCATACTGTGGTAAAAACTTTCTTAAACTTGAGTGATACTTTTCTCAGTTTTCTGTAACACGACACCTTGAAGCATTTTTCCATTTTACTCATTTTCTCCTAGTCTCCAGTTCTCACATATAAGTCTAAAAAGCAAATTTATCTCCTACTATACTTTCATTCGAATTTCTATGTACTACATATTATTTCTACTCAAACAAAAGTCATGGTCCCAAAACTTGTTTTCATATCACTAGCGTCCTATTTATTTCTTCTCTCCACCTTGTAAGTAATGAAAATATAAAATGCAGTTGAATAGAGAAAATAGGCCCTTTTTTAGTGGCGCACTCCATTTCACACAATGAATATGAACAGAGCATGATACTCATTATTCTAAACATTGCAGGTGTACAACGGAAGCTGGATATGGCAAATGAGGTGAGTTGTTTTTGCTTTCTACTCATTCTTATTCCACTTTGCTTACTAACTCACGCCCTGCCCACCCATGCCTTCATTTTACTCAATTGAGTATCTGGTGCCCACCCTTCTTTTTACACATCGAATAATATCTGGTGCCCCCACCTATGGCTTATTTTTACTCGTTGCATATCTGGTATCGGTCAGCAACAAAAATTTAAGATCTGTCTCAAATTAAACTCCTATCACTTGATAGAGCAGCTCCTTTTGGTGTTACCATGCTGAACTGATCAAATTCTTTTTCTCAAATTTTGTTATGCTAATAATTTTTGTTTCTTCTGAAGGATGGAATTAAGAACAAAAAGTCATTGAAGACTACTCCATCAAAATATCGATTACCAGGAAAAGACAGCCCTAGTAAGCAATTTTTTCCAATTGTTTTGGTACTCAAATTTTTTGAGGGTTCATAAAAAGAAATTTAAATATTTATATGTTCCTAAAAAAGTCACTGTCATTTAAGCCAATTATTATGCATCTTTACTTAAAGTTGTTTTTCATTCATGATAAATATTCAACTGGCCCCTGATGCAGCAATGTAATTATACTGTTGAAGTTGCTTCAATAATCGAAATAAGTTTAAAGGTTATTTTTGTTCGGCAGCATCTATAAACAAGGGGAGGACTGCACGTGGGGTTTCAGAAACAGCTGAGAAGTTGGGCAATATGGCGATTGGCACTCGAAGACAGTCGATGGGACAAACCCGTCCACCCCCAATGAAGGCTGGAGTCAATTGGATTTCTGAATCTGGAAACTTCATGGTCAAGTCCAGACCAACTGAAAGAACTTTAACAAGAAAAGTTGCTGGATGACTTTGGAGATAATGTTCTAAACACGCGGTTGTTATATTTTTTGTTTTGGGACACGCCGTCAGTTTAACTACATTTGGTGAAACAGTCATGCGGATGCCTATTAGTCTTTTATAAAAACTTTTCAATTTCATTACTGTTTGTTTGGGGTGAAATAAGAAAGACCAAAATAGAGGGATGAAGGAAACTAATCCAAGATTTGGTTGCAGTGGAAGTAGGGAAGGAATGGGAGTGGTTTTTATGGGGCCTAAAATGAAAAATAAGTTCCACAGATGGGCACAATAAGTTGTTACATACCTTGACTCTAGACATTCCTGAAATACTCTTACGTTAGAAATGGTCCATTTTCGAATTTTGGATTATTTTACATATGTAACACTAATTTGGTCTTCTATATGAGTGATTTTTAATTTAGATTTTTTAAGTTGACTTTTACATTTATCGTGTTATGTGGTTCAGACTATATTTATTATTCAGATTACTTAACCATATTTTCTCATTCATTCTTCTACTCGAGTATACAAATGTAAACAGCTAGCACATGTCACAAATTTGACGTTGATATGCAGACTAATATAGTGAATTGTCAAAGATGGATCAATGTGCAAGTTGGCTACCACGAAACAAAATTTGTAATAATCTTGGTCTGACATGTGGGTTGTGGGGTTTGGCTAGCCCATCTATATAGAAAAAGCTCCACTGTCCCTTTCTACAGTCGGTAAGAGACTCCACCTTGGCTACCTAATCATACTTATGTGCATCCTTTAAATCATCACACCTTCAAAACCTGGTCATTGTGGATTTACCTTCAAAATTAATTATTTAAATGTGATTATTTTAAAATTATTTATATTTTTGGAATTATTTTCTGTGTAGAGTCATCATGGGCTATAATGACTTAATATCATGTGTCAATTTTTATTTTTTTAAATGATGGCTTCAATTTAGTTATTATGAAGTTTCTATAGCTGATAGTTATTTAAATAGTGTCGTTACCAGTTGTTCCAACTTGTTAAATGACTCAATTTTTTTATAAAAATTATTTTTACAGAAAATATGTTTTTTTTAATATTTTTAAATATATTTATTTTAAGTGTTGGTCATTTAAAATCTTTTTGTAATTTATAAAAAAAAGTTTTTTATTTGTAAAATATATACATGTGTAAATTTTAAAGAAAAAATTAAGGTCACTCATAAAATTAAATAAAAAATATGTATAAAAAATAAAAAATTCTAATATTTTTACAATGCTTTGTTTATAAATAAAAGAGATATTATTAGAAAAAAGGACATTTATAAAAAAAACCTTTGTAAAAAAACCTTAAAAGGGTAAAAAAGAATATTTTTAAAAAAATTAGACTAAAAAAAACTTCAATACAATAAAAATAACCCATAATAATTTACTGATAACTAAAATTAAAATACTACTTTTCTTTTAAGGTTAAGTTGCTATAACCCATAGCATCTCATTATGACAAAAAAAAAGTTTTATTTTAAAAAAATAAACGTGGAAAATATAAAAATATTTTTTTAAATTTTTTTTTAAAGATATTTAATAATTATTTCATTTCAAATAAAAAAAATTAACCTACATTCATAAAGTTATATTTATATTAGTTATATATATATTATAAAATTAAATTCATACAAAAAATATATTTTATTTTTTAACAAATTATATTATCCTTAAAAATTTATAAATAAATTTTTTTTAAAAAATATTAATATTTTAAAAGTTTAAATAAATTAAACTTCAATGTAATAAAAATAACCCATAAAAGTTCATTGATAACCAAAAATAAAATACTAATTTTCTTTCAAAAAAAATTAACTAAAAAAATTCAACGTTAAAAAAAATAGTCACTATGACCCATATTTTAAGTAAATTCTACTCCAAACGTTAAAATAAAATTCTACAATAAACAATTCCAAAAATATAAATAATTTCAAAAAAGTCTCATTCATATAATTAATTTTTAAAATAATTCCACAATGATAAATCAGCCATATCTGCACCTATATACTCTACTATAAATCCATTTTAGTGAATTGATTATTTGTTCAACCAATTACAATGAGCACAAACAAGAAATTGTTATACTATCTAAAACCATAATTTTCTTTCATTTTATACCGTCTAGAAAAGTAATTTTAATTGAATATTTCTTTAGTTTAGGCAAGTTGGCATAATAGCTTCATATGACCAAAAATAAAATGCAAGAAAATAATGTATTATTTTTCTTTATTTCAAATTTCATATTTAAAATAATTGAATAAATTCCATTAAATTTTTATAACAAAGATATAAAAATCTATATCTACGTATAATTAAGTTATTGACAAACTAATGTGACCAATTTTTCTTTATAAAGAAAATGTCTCTAAAAATACAATAGATAAAACATCTTTCATTTGTTATTTATTATTTTTATATTTTTAATATTTATTTATTTATATACTAATAATAACTAATAACATCTTCATTCAATGCAAAAATTACTATTAATTATGTCTACTAATTTCATAACTTAAAAATAACATCAATTTTTAATAAATGAGTCATCGGTGGGCTAAACAACTTCAATCATAACTTAAAGACAACATTAACATTCAAACAACACTTTTCTTACCTCAACTGCTTCATAAAGCAAGAAGAGGTGGAGAAAATGGAGAAATCCTAAAAACTCACGTATGATGACTTTTCTTAAAGATTCACAGTTCCTCAACTTGAATCTCTAACCCAAACTACTTGATTTGTGCCTCAAGGAAGGATTGAAATGTTCCTGGTGAAGTCAAAAGAAGAAAAGGTCTTCCTTGACTTTAAAGGTTCTCTCTAAAACTTCTCTCTGTAATTCAGAGAAATGAAATTATAAAATTCAAGGTTTTTGAAAACCTTGTACATCTTCTCTCAAACTTGGTCAACTTTGACTTTAACTTAAACAACTCTAAATAACTTAACTCTTAAGGATCTCTTGACCCTCAAAACTTAAAAGAAAAATGACAACTACAACATAGCATCGTATAACAACATATATCCTATCATCATACAATAAAAGCATTAAAACACAATGTTACATTTGGAACTTAGGAACCTCTATTTTTTTTTAATTTACTTTGATGTTCATACATTTTCTTCTCTGGATTTTATCTATGTCAAGTAATTAATTGGTGCTTTTCATAACATTATATGGTTATGGAAGAATTGAAAGTTGAACCTAGACATTAGAACTATAAGATAGAAGCTTAGGTAAACCACAAAGTAGGTTTGATTGATAAAGAAATAAATGAATTAACACAAATCGTAAAAAGTTTTATTAAAAATAGTTTTCATGAAAATAGAAGTAAATTTAATTAGACATACCTCCATATCTAGAAAGGAAATGATGAACACCTTAAGTTAACTCAATTTCAATCAGAACAAGATAAAACATTAAAGCAAGTAATCAAATAGAGACTCATCTTTTGAACCCTCAATCCTAAAAATACCTATCGTTAAATTCATCTATTTAGGTCCGTTTGAAGAGTTTATGAACAACTTATTTGTACTTATCTTATTTTATAAATACTTATGAGAGTATTTGGATAAACTTGTAAAATATTTTATGGGTAGCTCATAAGATGTTTTGAACTTAATTATTTTGATAAGTTGTCTAATATAACTTATTACTTTAACTTATGCATAACCTTATTAAGAAATATTCATGTTTGAATCTTGTCATCAACATAAATAGTTTTTTTTCATACTTTTATCAAGAACCAATTTTATAATCTTTTTAATTACTCTCTCAAAAGTTTTTGTTTCCCCTCCAAATGTTTTTTTTCTACTCCTCCAAGAATTTTTCCATCTATTCCCCCCAAAAATTCACATTTTCTTATTATAAAATAATCTTAACTTTCTTTTCAAAATTATGCAACATTTTTTTTCTTCTATTGGAGGTTTCAATTACTATTTAAGGCTTATTATTTTTACCCATCACATAATTTTAATTACAAAAATAAAAATTCAAAATACTAAAGTTTTTATTTTTTTTATTATGTGGAAGAACATATGCTAAAGTTTTGATGATGCCAAAGCATTGAAGAAAATAAAGGTCAAGTTAATGCAAGCCGATCAAGAAGCAAGATCTCAAGTAATAACTAGATAAATTTTGACTGCTTAACTTAGTATGTAAAATGAACTTTTAGAATTTATAAATTTTACTTGGCCATTAAAATAAGGATTTCAAGAAAACCTAAACTTAATCTTTTTGAATATAAGAATAAGTTGTTTGAAAAGAAAGCAAAAAGAGTATTTAAAAGATTAAACAAAAATATTTTTAACTGGAAAATAAAAGCTTTCTATATCTTAAGTTTTCATAAGCTAATTTTGGTATTATTAGTTTGATAATCGATTACCAGTACATGTAATCGATTACCAGATGATGAAAACTTCTCTGTTCAAAATTGAAATGTTAAACGTGCTCTGGTAATCGATTACCAGTTCTTGTAATCAATTACTAGAAGATAAAACTTTAAAAATTGAATTTAAATTATACGACGTTTCAAACAATTTGAACTAAACCTTTGTAATCAATTACCAAGTCTTGTAATCGATTACCAGAGCCTATTTTCTGAAAAATTATAGAAAGTTACAACTCTTCATGAAAAGACATAACCTATGAAACAATTGTCTATAAATACCTATAATTTTTCAGAGGTAGGTTACGAACTCAAATGTGAAAATCTATTTACAAAAACTACTTGGCCAAAATCATTTGCAAAAATCTCTAAAGAGTTCATCAAGTTCTTAGAAAGTGTAATATCTACTCTTTAAAGAGAGTCATTCTGTAATTACCCAATTGATCTGTTGATCTGTGAAGGAGAAATGGTTTTTCTCCTTGTTGGTTTTTGAATCTCAACACAAGGAAAGGGAGTTCCGAGGTGTTGGAGGATTCAAGTCTTGTAAGGTTTACAAGAATAGTGAAAATCTCAAGTGGGAGACTTGAGGACTGGATGTAGGCAAGATTGGCCGAACCAGTATAAAATTGAGTTTGCAATTCTTCTTTCCTTACACTTTTAATTTCTTGTTATTAATTGTAATTGTGTAGTTTGCATCATCATTCATTCTTTACATATAAATTTATCTAAGGAATTAAATTTGTAAGAAAGTAATTCGGAAAATTTTATAAGAGGAAATTTGATTAACTTAATTCACCCCCCCCTCTTAAGTTAATTGAGGCTAAGTGACTAACATATTATTTTTATTCATGATTTTATGGGATATATCGAATTGATTTTTAATTTTTAAAATTTATGATTCTAAATTTTTAATCATGTTTATATATAAAATTGATTTTTCATATATTTTTTTTATTAATTTTATCTTTTACTAAGCTAAAATTAGGTGAATAATGACTAGTATTTTTTTTTATTTTATTATTATGATATATAATGAC